AATTCTCTCATGCTTTTACACGTACCTGTACACATCGTTTTGTAAAATTAAGCATGTATGTATGCATGTGCCCGCAGATGCAGCCAACAGGGCGGCTGGACTGTCGCGCTCCTATATATACGTAGGCACATGCATCCATCCATCCCTCCGCCCCATGCAGTCCCGGCACACACAACTGAACCCATGTACCTCTAGCTTGTATTCGGACTTCTGCTGGGCCTGTACAAGCGCTCGGCCGTAGTTTCGGAGTTAAAGGGGTCGGGAACGCTCAAGGATGAGAGGGTTTCGAGGTGTAGCAGTGCATTCATACCCTGAGGCTCTGGGGTGGCGGTCAATTCTGGCGCAAGCTCACGCAGAGACTCAGCCGACATGGGCTTGTGTTGGAGCATTGTGTCTTCTTGGCATCATATCCTTGATCTTTCACCCAAGACCTTCAGAAACCGTGCCAATCTCGAACTCACCGCAAGCTCCTGAAACCCTGTACCGCCGAAACGTCAAAAGCACGATCCTAAGACCTCGCCCGTCCCTTTGGAAAGGAGAGCTGCGGATCTGGATGGGATGGTTCCTCGGCACGATTACAGCGATTTCGGGGCACGGACAGGGAATCCGGGCTCATGGCTTCAACGGTCAGGGGTTGGATGCACAGGTCCGAGGTCTGGGGTGCCGGACCGCCGACCCTAGAGAAGACGAAGGGGTTTTCCCCCTGGGTCCTTCAGGTTTCTGTTTTAGGCTTTGTGTTGTCTTGTTAGGCTCCGAGACTGCGAAATACATAGCCGCAGAGTCCCAAGCACAAAAGCTACACAAAACATTAAAAGCCATGCCAGAATCTTGGATGGGCATCCTGGGCCTGTACCATGCTTCTTCTTGCAGGCAGGCTTCTCAGACGTGCCACTGCTCCACGGCTGCATGCAACAGTTCGCGCACTCGCGAGTTTGCATTCCATGGCTTCCTCGAAGAAGTCAGGAGCTTTTGGTGTTTAGTCGGTCTAGTGTTCAGGATGCAGTGGGATTTAATCGAAATGAGCCTTGAGGAAATGGACAGGCTGGACTGTTGCTGAAGAGAAGCACTGGCAGAGGGCCTCAACACTGACCTTGTGGATTTTAGCACTTCATCCTGTCAGGTCACGGGTCTAGGCGCCTTTACTGTTGCGGCCTGACCGGCAGTGCTGTTGTGTCAAGTGCAACTTCGTTCGTTAACGGAAAACGCTAGATACGCGAAATTACGTGGAGAGCGACCTGGGAAGTGACCGGATGCGTGGTTAGTCTTGAACATCGGCTAGCCGTGTCATGTTTTTCCAGACTGCTTGAATGAGGACATCCGTCCGTCGAAAACATCAACGCGACTGTCCAGACGCTGTACCGGGACGCTGTGGCCAAGTTTGGTGCCTCGGCTGTTGGGTCCGTGCCGCCTTTGGTTGGATGTTGCCTTGACTTATCTTTTCTGTTTGTCATTGCTGGCCGGGCTGCTTCTGCCGGACCAGGGCACGACTTCTGGTAGACAAGCAGCCCCTTGCATCCTCCACAAGTTTTCGGCTGCAGGATGAGCCCTCAGCAGAACGACACAACAGTGCCCAAAGGAGCAGAAACGTAAAGAGAAAAGGCAGAACGAACGCCCCCGAGGTAACCCTGAATCGCTGACCGAAGACTCCTCTTTGTCAGCCCGGCATGTCTGGAAGGCAAGCGCTGGGTGTTTACCTTGAACATCTACCCGCGGCGCGGCGCTTTAGGACTTGGGCCGGCTTAGGGCTTCCGATTGTGGATTTCTGGCATCTGATTTGATTCTGGGCGCCCCACAACGCTGAACCGCTAGCAAAGGTACTTCGACCCGAACAATGCGCTGGATCCTGGCTCCACTACCAAGTGCACACAGGCCCAATGCCTGAAGCCTGAAGCTACATGAAGGCTTTCCTTTGCCGGAGGCAGAGAGGGTTCTCTGCACCGCATGTACAGCACGGGGACTTGAACATTTCAAGTTCGATTGTTACCACCTCTATTCCCAAGGCTTCACGCCTCTTGGCGGATCTATTGGTGAGGCAACCGAGCCCCGCAACGAAACCAGAGCACGCGTTTCACCCGAAAACAGGGCTTAGGACCGAGGACTCAGGGACTGACGCTACCAACTTTCAGACCCCCCCCCCGCCCGTGTTCAGGCACTGACGACCGCCACCTGCTTCAGCGATCCCAGATGCAGTTTGCCAGCGATGGTCAAGGACATGCGCAGAAGGATGCAGTGCCCCTGCAGCACCGTGGGCTTCTGGCCAGGCTTTTGGGTCTGAGGCCCAGGGTTGGGCTGTCAGCAGCATCGCTAGACGCTACCCGAAGCCTTCGCATGGCAGCCCAGGGCTGAGCTCAACAGCAAGCCCTTGGCTGCAGGGTGTGAAGCTTCTAAGCTGGCACAGCCAGATCGCTGTCGGGCAGTTCCGCACACCTTCTCTGGCTTGGGGAGACGGGCTGGAGTTCTCCCCAGGCATGGTCGTGGGTTGTTGTTTGTAACTTTCGTAGGGCTGTGGCGATTCGCGGGTAAGGGCTGCATGGCAGGTTTCGGATTAAGCAGTGCTCTTGAGCGCGAGCGGGACTGTGTTTATCGCCACGATCGACGCGCAACAACCTACAAAGCTCGGGCACTTAGGAGTTGCTTGCTGCTGTTGGTTCGGGTCGGGGCTTATACGGCAGTCCACATGAGAGCTGTGCTGCACGGTGCCAGATTTGAGAATCACTTGCAGCGCTCTCGGTAGTAGCTACAAGTGCCACATCCTTCAAAGTCAACCCCAGAATTCACATCGGGCAGAAGATCACAAGTATTTCCAGGATGATTTCCTAGCTGGCCATGCTCCCGTCCCAAAAACCCCAGAAAGCTTCTGAAAGCCACCGGGCACCCCGGGCCCAGCAGGCGAGCACGCTGTCGGGAAAGCCCATGGCTGCCTGTACGGCTTTCTCCGGCCTCAGCTCTTTCCGCTCCTTGGGCTCTGGCAGTTGGGGTAAGCGACCACACTTTAGGGCCTTTAGGGCCTTTAGGGTTTAGGGTTAGCTACAGCTACACAAAAACCCAAAGCAAGATCCTAGTTAGGCCTGAAGCACAGTTCAAGCCAGCATGGGTTTTCGGGGCCTGTCGAAGTTTGAGCGTTGCGCGTCGCGTTGTGCAGTTCTGTTGGGTTCTCCAGCAGCAGCCATCCGTCCAGCGAGTCGACCCGCAGGCAAATATTACAGCAACTTCCTGAGCTGGGATCTCACTGTGGATGCGAGCAGCCGTGGGCCGGACCGACATCAGTCGAGCTTATGGATGTGTGACTTTTGGGATTGCAGGGTGTCACCTCAACCAGTGCAACGGCTTCTTTTTTCGGTGGTGCCTTTGGAAGGATGCGGAGAGCTTCAAGACCTGTGGAGCTCGAACATGAAACCACCAACTCCCAAAGCCTCAAGCTTTGGGAGGTGACGGGAGAGTTGCGAGAGAGTTCCGAACAGCCCGCCGCGGCTGTAAGTCCGAAGACCCGGCAAATTCCCCCAAGCAAAAAAAATATGCGAGCCGCTCCAGCCCCTCAACCCTTAGCCTCATGTAAGAAGGATCATGTCTTCTACTTCACAGTGCGAGACTCCGGCAACTTCGGCGTGACTCGGAGAAACAGACGGCTTTAGGTTCTCGGCAGTTTTCGCCACTGGGTGCGTTCACTAAAGAGCTTCAGGTACATTCAGACCCTAAACTCTCAGACCGGAAGCTTTCAAACCCAATGACTGGAGCCCAAACCCAAAGCCCACAGACTAAAACTTCGAGCCGAAACCACATTGGGACTCAAAAGCAGGGCGAAGTCCCGAGAGATTGTAATGAACTACAAACCTTTCTTTCGGGTTGTAGAGTCAGAGGGGAGGTCTTAGTGAGTCTTGGGCTTGGGTGGTACTAAGCACTAGCCGTAGTACATCATACCGTTGGGTTGGTCAGTCGTTGCTGCATTTGCCGAGTACGCTCCTTTGTGTTTGCCTAACTTGGACCAGACCTCACTTGTCACGGTGTTCCTATGCCTCCGCCTTAGCCCCCTAGCTTTCTGATCTCAAGTGCACAAGCCGAGGTGGGTGAGCACTTCGGGCTGATCTCTGATTGAGTCTCGAACGCAAAGCATACTACTTTGGACCTTCAGGGCCTCACGGCTAATTTATTCGGAGCCCAAAGCCTCAAATGTCGACCACACTTCAGCCGGCACTGTTTCTGAGGGTTCTCTTGTGCATATGCACCTTTCATGTTCAGGCAGAGTAGTTCAACAGCTCGTACACTTCCTGCGGTTTGGGCTGCAACAGGATTGGTCGAGTCCTTTAGGGTTTGGGATCGGAAGCGAGTGTGGTCCTGCACGGGCAGGCAATGCCAAGCGATGCAAGCTTCAATCGAACAGCACCCTGGACAAGACGCCCTTGCTGACATATGTGTAGGTTTGGGCCCACATGGCCTTGCGGCTTGGCGGTTCAAGGCATGGGGCCTGCATGCGCTGTCGTCCGCGAGATTGTCGCAGGATGGTGGCGCAATCACAACTAGCTCATGACGTTTTGGCACATTTAGAAGCAGCTAGGCCACCATCCGCAGTTGCCCTGGGCACCGAGCCTTCTCCTTTGCAGCTCGGAGTGCTGATAACGTCCTCAAGCAACTCCATTCATCCTTTTCCAGACCGCCCTTGCTGCATGGGCAGGGCGGGCAGCGTGGATGGAGTTTCGTTTTACAACCTCTGGTCTCACCTTGGTCGTGCAAAAAAGCAGAGCCGGACAGCCAGCGCCTTGTTGGATGTTCGCCAATTGATAAGAGTTGAAGTTGGCTATGAGCTCGACGAGGAAGCGACGGATGACGATGATGACGCTGGTCATGATGAGGCTGGTGATGCTGACGGTGATGAAGATGGTGAGAATGATGAGGACCCGATCGTTGATGTAACGATGATGACGGGGATGAAGGATGACTTGCAAGCCAGCAGCAAGCGCAGGTGATGGTAGCAGCAGCCGTGCGTTGCGGTCTATGCCCGCCAGGAGTTCACACAGCTTGTGGAGCGCACCCTGCAGGCCGATCGTCACATTCCCTTGTGTATTGGACAGGTGTTGTCGCCTTACCAGCAGTTGCTTGCGCACGATTTTCGGTTTCGGGCATTTCGTTTCTGAAGCACGTCTTTACTCGCTATTCGCTGCAGTCGGGTTCACGATGGATCGGGTTGCGGCAGCTCGATGTGAGTAGTTTTTTTTGTGGTCATCTTTTGATTCTGCAAGAGAGAAGCCCCTGGTCCTCTCACCAAATCCCCACGCGGCCCAGCCCCGGACCCTGGCCCTCGGGGGTCAGGTGGAACTCTCGCCCAAGGACGCGGTGGCATCTCTCGTCAATCTGGGTTCTAGATTGTAGATTATTTGAATTGAAGGTTCGGGTGAGTTAGTTGGCAGTTAGCTTCGAGGAAGGGTTGGTGCAGGAGGAGTTATTCCCAGCGTGTCGGCCGTAGGGCAGCGAGGGGACCAATGCCGAACTAGTATGCTTCGAAGGCCAAAACAGCACAAAGGAGTGCTCAAATATTTGGAAGACCAATAAGAATGGTAGCAATTTTTTGGCTTGGGTCTTTGAGTCGGGTCTAGTTTTGCTCACATGCAAAAGGTTTTCAAGTTTCAATCCTTCGAGATGTTGATAAGAAGGGTTTCGAGAGAGGACGTGTGCCTGTGTGCGCTCAGCCAGTTAGTTCGTCCACTCACACATCTTCACGCACGCCTCGAGCAAGTCTAGAGAAGATTTGTTTACGAGCTTATGCAAAACGGCCTGGGGGATTCTGGGAACGCTTCGAGCGAAAGCGCGAGGAGCTGGATGGGTACTGGCAGGACACCTCTGTGCCTCTGGGATGGGGCTTGGGCTCCACCGGATGGTTTGCGGAGCTGTAGCCGGAAATTTCTGTTGTTTCTGAGACATTTGAGAAGGCTTTGCCCTGAAGGGACAGCTTCCCCCGCCGACTCCCCGAAGAGTGGAGGACCTTTGCCCTGGCAACGGCCCCCAGCGGATCAGCTTCGAAGAGCGACCGGGCCGGAAAGAAGTGCTCTGCCTGCCTACCTGGGCTTGTGCTGCGGCGAACTGTTCGTCTTGAGGGGGTTTTGCTTTTTGGAGTTGGGAAGAGTGGCTCGCGAGTTTGGGAGTGCCGAGTCGAGGTGGAATCCCAGGAGTCGGGCGCCTTCGGCGGAGTGTAACGTGTAGGTCTTGTTCCAAGAGGCGTCTCCCCTAAAGCATCCATGTGCAACGAGGTGGTTTGGCTGGGTTCGCCGTGGCCTTGGGGATTCGGCAGCTGGGGGAGCTTCATTGAAGGTTTTTGATTTTGGAACCGGTAACACTGGGGGTCTTTTATGGCAGGCTCCGGCTGTTGCTGGAGTCCGGAGCTTCGGACGTACGAGAATCCAGGCTAATGCATGTTCAACACAACATAGTGTAGCCAAGTACCTGGTATTGCAACACCAGATCGTATAATTCTGTTGCCACTTAAGTATGCATGTTTGTATCATGCTTATGATCTGCTGCACGTGTCTCTGCCTTTTTGCCAAGCCTGATAACCTTTGATACGGATGTAACGTTTGATACAGATGCCGCATCCCGAACTTGAGATGCTATCAGAGACGGCAGGAGGTTTGCGCCCAGCGAAGAAAGCCTCAGAAATGCCAGACTCAGACAACCTCCAAGTTTCAAAGGATCGCGTGCAAGATCTGCAAGCACAGCATCCAAAGAGAACCCCCGGGTATGCAAGCCAAAGCTCAACAGGAACATCCCCTGCATGATATCTGTTGTGCTCATTGTTCACCATGTGGTGCATCCTGGTTCCTTTCCTCTCAGACCTGAAGGCCACGGGCCTAGAGAGAGACACCCAGCGAGGTCGCAACTACCTCCCTTTCCAGGCTCGGCTGGAAGCCCAAACAGCAGAAGAAAAGTGGTAGCGTGTTTGTTGTGTAGATGCACAGCGATTTGTGTACGTGGCATAGTATTTGCGGACTAGTAAGCTCGCAGCCTTCAAGCATGGGATGCCAGCATCTTAACACAAAGGCTTAGTTTCTCCAAGTGAGACCTTCAACCGCAAATGCTGCGATATGTCTCCGCACAAAGAACCGCTCACATATTGGAGGAGCTTACTGTCGACGTGCCCGTTCCTGAAAGCTACGAGCTTATCACGAGCGGGGGGCTCAGCCTTCGCAACAAGTGTGTCAATGGTGAAGGCCCTGGGGAGAGTAGCAAGCAATCTGAATCTGATAAGGATCCACCACTGCACGAAACGATTAACGAGTCATGCTTTCCTTAATCCAACCCGGCAGGCTTCGCACCCAGATGGGAGTCTTCACTTCACAAACCTTCCAGGTGGGGGGATGTCTGGACTCCCAAGCCACAAACACCGAGGTGCCGTGGGCGTGGCCCTGGCAATCTACGTGTTGGGTGCCGAGCTCAGCTTTGGGAAGTGACAAACAAATCTTAGGGAGGAGTCCAAGTGTTCAGCGAGGCCCTGACCTCTTTCTCTGGACACATCCAGGTCAGTTCGATGCCATTGCCTCGAGCTTCCGCGGGCTTTCTGGCACGCCGCTGACGCTGTGGGCTCCACCCCTAGGCTCCTTGCAGAGGGCTCGGGCTTTGGAGTTTAAGGTTTGGGTCTCCGGGTTGCGCGGTGCAGCGATCTTTGTTGGACTCAATCTAAATTTGTAAGCACCAGTCCTATGGATCCCTTGTGAAGGTAGGTGGGGTAATCCCAAAACAAGAGCTTTTTCTACAAGGGATCCTGAGTCCTACCGACCTTCATCGCACCGGCCAACTTTGTTTGGAGCATCCTGACCATGGTAGGAACCATCGCCCAATAGAACATTGAAATCTTCAGGCGCAGCCCTCGAGAGCCTCTCTAAAGCCCAAAAATCCCTGTGTTGGCCCTAAAGGAATCTCAAGTCGCCCCGAGGCTCCGTGGTCGTGCTCCTCTTTGGCCCCGGACTCCAGGGCCGGCGCGGGGCGATCAGCGCCTGCGCTGGCATGGACGGCACGTTCAGAAATCAGGGCCTTCTGAAGTTCGGCCCCATCGCATTCAATCTGTATCTCTCATTATCTCTCTTGTGCTCCCACACAATCTTTTTGGTTTTCTCGATGCATAGATGTTGTTATGTGTGTGTGTATATCGATTTATCACCCTGTTCGCACTTGCTCCAGGTGACACAGACGCTGTGCGAACGGTGCTGGTTGCCTGCGTTGGCTGCGCTTTCTGCGCATCCCGGCCCATCAACACAGCACAAGTTCCGACTGCTGCGTTACGGTAGTCTGAGTTTAGGGACTTGTTCGGGTCAGCGACTGGGATGTCCAGGCTTTGCATTTCGGATGCGACTTTCGGGAGCCCCGCGTCCTGAGACCTCATTTCGAACGCAGAGCACTCAACCTTCTGCTGAGCTTCCATGCAGCTGAGACGCCTGCCCTTCAAATATGGCGACGCCACGAAACCATGATGAACCCCTTTATCCACGACCCACCTGTGCATGCAGCAACGTTTGCACGTCAACAAGCAGTTCGGCCTCGCAGTTTTGCTTGCAAGACACTCGTAAACGCACTTAGCTTAAACACGATCCATGGTCTGCGGATGAAATTGTCGCACCTGAGTTCGAGAAGGAGTTCAATCTACCGGGGCAATGTGCACGTAGATCTTAGATGATCTTAGATGTACAAGAGACTACAGAATGGAGATCCTTTGTGGCGTAAGCGGGCTGTATCAAATCCGCCATGCCTGGACAACACATGAGATATCTGATCAACGGGTATATGGACGCGCGTACACAGAAGGTTGTTGAAGCACAGTCTTACGACGATGGCGAGGAGTGGGGGACCGGGTACATTCCATTGTGTCTTCCGTATGACGAAAATCTGCTCGGCAGCTGTGTCGTGCTCATTACAAGATGTGCAGGAAACGAGGAAGTAAGATCATCGTAACAGCTACAGCAGCTACAGATGCTTCGAGCGGTCACAGTGAACGTTGTAGGCCATGCTGGCCATCTACAGCTTCGGTGGCGACCAGCCGGCAATAACCCGGGCAGCAGCAGCGAGCGGCTCCCTACTTTGGATGCGCTCCACACGGTGCCTTGTCTTTTGATCCCTTTCGGAGGGCCAAAATACACAGCAACGCATGGGCTCACACATGCCGGGGGCTTCAGCTCAGTTTGTGCTGGCTGAGGCTCCTTCTTTTTCGACTGGTTAGATGCCTTGCTCTCCAAATCAAGCAATTCAGCGATTAACCTAGCCTCATACCCCTTGTCTTGTATTTCAAGACCGCTGTCACCGTCCCCCTGTTTCTCTGTGCCTTCATGCCATTGCTCTCTCTGTGAGGAGCCTCTTCGCCCCTGCTGGGGCCTTCGCTTGCCTGGCTGTGGACCAGGCCCTCCCTCGGCTGCCACCCGTTCGGGCCGCTTGTCAATGCCACGGCCATGGCCAAAAATCTTTTAGGAACTTAGTCTCTTTTTTTTGTTTTTTGGGGAGATCTGCGGGCATAGGTTTATTTTCGGGCAGATAACCTCGGCCTGAGGCGCCTAAACCTGTAGAGCGAAGCTGTAAGATGTTCGTTTTTTTGCTCTTCATCGACTTCACCTCCCAAGACTTGATTTGCAGTGGCGGAACTGCGGCACACGGTAAGCCCGGGTCTGCTGAACCATGTGCAAGCGGTGCAGGAGTCAATACTTCCTGGCCGGGTACCCATGTTCCCCCAAACGCAAAGCTGAAATGCCCCTGCATTCTACATCAGTGCTTTCCTAAACTCTGAGACTCCCAAGCTCAACGGCTAAACCCGAACGCCAGATTCACACATCCGAGGACTGGCAGTGGGTTGCCGAGGGTGTGCAGCTTATCGTCGTTCCGGCCGTTGCTCCTTGTCTTTTTTGTGGGGTCTGCTGGGGCTGACAGGGGGCCATGAGCAAGGGTATCTTGGGAGAATCCGGGAGGCAAGGAAGGGGATGACCACCATTCGGGGGGGTACTTTCTCGCAAGATCTGCCCAGAAGCGCTTAAAGTTCACACCCACTGCTGCCGAAGGATTCGCTCTGCTGCTTGATTTTCGGCTTCTGTTGCGATCGTCCCAGGTCGGATCCCTGTTCCTTTTCGCCGCGCAGTCAGCGGCCGTTTTCCTGAGGAGCAAGTTTGCATGGCAGGAGGCGCTCTCCATTCAGGAGCTCTGCTGAGTTCAAGCTGGGACATGGTTTCAAGCAGGAGTTTCAGAACACCATTTCTTGGTGGTATACTTGTAGGAATGCAGACGGGTACACCCGAACGACCAGTTCCATCGCTTTTTTTCCTCTGGGGCATCACCGGATCTGCGACAGTCGGAAGACCTAAGTATTGGGCGGGCTTCTGTTGCCGAAGGCTTGTGCGCACAAACTGCCAGCGCCCGGAAGCCTTGAGGCCTTCACCCGCCCGAAGTCTGACAGACCCAGGGTTCAGCCCGGAAGTCGCGACACTAAACCCCAACCGACAATAACCAGGACACTTGGCTGGTGGGAGAGCTTCGCTCGGCCTTCCCTTCCTTACCGCCGCCAGGCTTTGAACTTCGCTCTCAGAGTGTTAGGGTTTGGGCCCGCCGCCCGGCGCCTAGGGGAGTCGCGAAGCCATCCCTAGGATGTGCACAGCTCTTCCCCTTCAATATTTCTAGAAGGCCTGATGCTCGCAACATGGTCGAGAGTAGTGAGAGTAATTACTGCAGATCCTCCAAACCACAGTTCTCGCAAGCTGCCCCCACCGAAGCTCAGGAAGCGAGAGCTCTCGAAGCTCTTGAGAGAAGCAGAGGAGGCCTGGAGCCCCAGATCCCCCCAAGATGTGGTGGTTTGTTTGTGGGCCCCCTCGGCCCGCACAAAACCAACATGGACCCGAGATGCGCTCAGCGAGCCTGCCGTGCAGGTCTACTACAAGCCCCGCTCTGTTCTGACGGACCAGGGGGAGGCCTGCACCAGAACCAGAGTTGTGTTTGGTGGTGATAATCATGTGAAGTGTAAGCTTGAGGCCTTAGGCTTTCCGGGATCAGTATGGTTTTCCACTGCAATCAACCTCTCCAAGAGATGCTACTGCCAGTTCTCATGTCGCTCCTGCTGCGCTACACCTTTGGTTGCCGCTGTTCTTCAAATCCTCACCGTTCCTATCCAGACTGCTTTCGCTGCAAGCGGTGATTCTGGGCTCCACGGCGGCTACTGACTACTGCCTCGGATTGACAGGGTTCAGAAAACGGGGGATTGTGTCTGTCTGTTTCTGGCTAGGCGCTTCACAGCACCAACGACTGTCAAGCGTGCGAAAGAGTGCAAATCATCCCATGAGCAGGAAATAGACTTCACGCCGCGGTGTCGTTCTCCTTAAAGTTTCAAGCAGGTCTGAAGCCTCCAACGACACGAAACCTGAATCCTCTGGAGCCCGATTCCCACAAAACCCTTTCCTGCAATCGGAGGTGAACCCCTACATTTGGCTCGTCGTTTCGGGAAGCCTCGTTGTGGAGGTGGGCGGTCAGGCCGGTCTGTTTGCTCAGCTTCCCTTGACGGCTGGGAGAGTTTAGGTTTCCGAGTTGTGGCTTTAGCCCTGGAGTTCTACGCGTGAGAGGGCTTTTGGCTCAGGCTGAGATTCGGCAGGAGTTGGAGCGGTCGCAGCGAGTCAGGTGGCCTCCACATTGGAGCGGAAAGCCATCATCGGAGAGGTGACCTTCCTTGACCCCAAGGCCGGCAGTACAAAGGGGCACGATTCGTCCTTTTTCTGTTTCGTGTGGCTTATGCTGTACGAAGAATACCCCTGCTCTGCAGGACAAGCTCGCGACAGCCACGGTCTACGCGAACACGGGCGGGGCACGAACGCTCCGTTGGTCGCAGGACGGGAGCTTCACGTAGCGGCTTTCGCTGTCGCAGCTCTTGGGAAGTCCGGCCTACAGGGCAGATTTTCCGAATGTAAATGTAATGTAGATGTCTCGGGCTGGAACTTCACCCGCAATTTTGATAGGATGATCTAGAACCTAGACTTCTGCTTGAGACATCACATACCGAAGTGTACTGCTTGCAGGGCATAGCATGTAGGACACAGATGATCCACACTTAGTAGCATACCTAAAGCTACCCGTATATCATATGTACAAGCTCGAGCAGGATGCAATGCAGGGAATGCAGTGCATAGCGGATAGCGCGCACGCAGGCACGGACACAGAAAAAGACACGCAGATTCACATAAACAGACACACGGAGCACCATGCATAGTAATATGTATGCAGTGTGCCCAGTGGTAGAATGCATGTGGGGCAAAGTGTGCATATCCATTCAACAAACATGGCATCTTGCGTAGGCAAGATAAATCACGAGGGCTGGGGGACCAGGGAGGGAGGGGGAGATTTTTGGGACCAGTAGAGTGCTCCAAGTGATCGCGAGCGAAAAGGCAGATAGTGAAAGAAAAACAACAGAACGGAAGAAAGAAAGACCTTCAGCAAAACACACAAAGAACCATACAAGCAAGAACGTACACACACTTCACTTCGCATAACCTCAATCTGCCTCAAAGCAGAAGCACTCAGCTCCCTCAAGGACCGGCTGCGTGAGTTCTGCGAGGAGGAGGCAGCCTTAGGCGAGAAGGTGATGGCCGCCATATCGGAGGCCTGCATGGGGCATCGAGTAAGTACTGTAGGCAGACATGCCCGGTGGTTGGTCGAAGTTTCATTCTGGACAATTTGTTCCGCTTGAGGGTGGAAGCCGTCGTCAACTCAATCTCTGCAAATGCGCTGCATCCCCGCAGTGGCTCATACACCGAAAGGAGCTCCGACGATAAGTTGTTTCCGGGCGGACGATGCCTCGATTTGGCCTGCCTTGAGATCTGAAGGTACCGAGCCTTCCAAAAAATGCCTGGCAAAGCCCGCCCCTCGGGCTTTGCATCCTACCCGAACCGACAAGCTTTCATCAACGCGCCACACCGCTTCAAAAGCTTCTACACTGTAACTTATGGATCCGAGCCTTCGCCAGACATCCTGGCTTTTCCTAGCCACCCGAAACCTCTCTGGGCCTCAGGTCTCAGGTCGCGCATTTCTTGAGGCTTTGCCCCGAAATCCTGGAGCCAAGACCCCTCTAAAGCCTCTCAAAACCTAAAATCACATCCTCAAGCTTTCAACTGCGAGGAGCTCATTGAGAAGATGGTCCGCGGTCGGGGAGCCGGCCGGCGTTCTCCCGAGGAGTCCGTGAGACTCTTGGCGCAGCTCCGGAAGGCTTTCCCTCAGCTTGGCATGGCGGAGGCCGCTTAGATCCAACCTGGCCAAGAATCCTCGCGCTCGTCGACAACCTTCCTGGCCGAGGTGCCACGATTCCTCAAAGTGGCCGACAGCGTCACCTATTCGGAAGGCAGCTGCAGCTCGGCACATCTAGATGTTGCGGCCGCTGCGACTGCTGCCGCTGCTGCCGCTCCAGCCTCCCTTTTCAGCGCCTTCTGATTGTCCTGCTTTGTTCTTTGCTCTTGCTGATGTTGGAGTTGATGCTTCTGTAGATGAGCCGCTGTTCTACTTCCTTGTGCGTTGGCTTGAGCCAAAGGGGTACGGCTATAAGCATTTCTGGTCGGCACGAGCACTTGTCACCACGATGAGATCCAATCAAGTGTCCCGCCGGGTATTAGGCCTGCACGAGGAGGCTACTTACAGCTAGGTGGTGGAGATCTCCCTAGAACCGCATGATAAACGCCGGGCTGTGTCCGTCCGAGCGGGTAAGCGCCGGACTGACGGCTGAGTCACCAATGCAGAGGGAAGTTTCGCCACTGGGTGTCCCTGCTACGATCACTACTGCCACCGCTACTTCTTCTATTTCCACTACTTATACTGCTGCGGTCGTTGTTGTGGTTGTGATTTTGGTTGAGGCTGTGTTGGAGGTGGTGGTGGTAGTGGCGGGTTGCAGTGACGGGTTGCAGTGGCGGGTTGCAGTGCTGGTGCTGGTGGTTGCGGTGGTAGCGATGCATTCGCCGCAGAACTTGAGATGCAAAGCTTGCCAGAGTCGTTTCCGTACTATGAAGAGGTTCAGGAGCCCATGAATCGACTTTGTCTTGAGGCCTGACCACCCAGGGGATCGAGAACCGCTTCCTCTGGCTGGTCTTGTCGGGATCCCTGATGCCCGGCCGCAGACGCAGGTTTCCTGGTTTCGGGTCAGGGCAAAGGGGTCCGAAGCCCCGGAGAACCTTCAAGCAAGCAGGACAGGCTTAGGTTAGGGTTTGTAGGAGTCGTTTGGATCGAGTCTACGATGGAGTAGCCTAGGCCGATGGTCCGGATTTGGGCTGAGGTTCGAGGTGTTGGCTAGGGCTTCGCACATTAGGGTCCCGCATCGGGCCAGAGCAACAACAAAACGCACACCCCGAACCAAGGACTCCTAGACCCCGAGTCGTGGCCCCCGCCCACCCGAAGGAGTGTCAATGTCAACTCTCAAACCGTGGCTCAGCTGTCCGACGGTGCCCTCATCGGCGAGGCCTGTGTTGTCTGTCCGGCTCTTTTTACTTTGCATACACCCAGCCGAAGGAGCTTGAACAAGATCCTGATGTAGAAAAACACCTAAATGTTGTCAGGACCTCCGCTTGCTTGCAAGCTGCAAGGGCTTGCTTTTGTTTTTTGTGCTTCGCATCTCGCATGCTCCCGTGGTAGTGTTCATTCATGCAGTGAGCACCCCTCCCGAGTCCCTCGCAGTGAATGTGGATGTGGGGCTTTCCAGTGTTATCGTCGGTGAGTGTCAGATTCTGCACCGTGTTGTCGTTGCACACGAACCCTTCAAGCTTTGCAAGGTTCGATGCTGCCTTTTCCAGGTGCAAGAACAGAATCCCATGCAGAGACCGCAGAGATGCCTGAAACCACACCAAAAGTGCACAAAGGCCTGAAAACGCAGTTGCGCAGCGTACGCTGAGATCCTATTGCCGCTGTTCTGATTACGACTACGGTCATCCCCCACAGCATTGCTATACTCTCCTATTCGTAATATTATGATATGTTGATGACTCTTGTTTACTACTGTAGTCTTTCCTGAGATCCTGCGCAAGGCCACCTTCCTCGGCTTCGCGGCTGAGAGCTTGGCTTCGGCGACGGTCCGGGTCGACGAGGAAGAGGCGCCCGCGCTGTGGCGGAGGATTGTTTAGGCCCTTTAGGCTTCTATCTTCTTCAATTCGCCCCAACAGGCTTGAGGTTGTGAGGTGTGTGGGGACGAGGATCTATGTTTTTCAATCGTGCCATCTTGCAGCCGCACAAATCCTCAAGGTATCGAATTTGAGGTTCCGCCTTGAAGGTTGACAATACAGGTTTGTCTTCGGGGTTTGGGCTGCTTGTTGGTTCTAAGTCTTACCGCGAAGTCCCAAGCCTCTTGCTTGACACCACAAATTCCGACAGTGCCTCGATCTCCCTTGGACTGGACACAACTTCAATCCATAGGAGTCCTCAACCATCCTACACGTCATATTGGATTGTAGCACGGAGTGCTGGCTCGTCTTGTCCTAAGCCTGTCATGAATGGCTACGCACTGGACGCTAATCGTTCGTCGATACGAGTCAAGTTGCTGTGTGAAATGCAGGTCTTGCTTGAACTTCAATTTTCTTGTGAGATAGGCGTGCGTACATGTTGCATGCATGCGAAACACATATACATGTGTACAGACATGACATGGTGATGAGGATGCCGGTGATTTCTGACTGCAGTTGGTGATGGTTTTCGTTGTCCTTATCATGGGCCCCAAAGATTTGGGTAACAGCACGTACCAGATGGTTCAGGTGTCATGTGCAGCAAACCTTCTGCAAACCCTACCACCAGTGAGAGCGACAAGTGTACTTCTACGTCATTTCTAGCCCCGATCAAGTCTACGCCAGAGTTTTCGATTCTGAGCCCGTGCCAAGCCCAGGGTGTGCAGACATTGCGCTGGTCGCAGGCGGCCGCTACTGTAGATAAAGAAGTAGTCAGGCTCGAAGCACAAGTCATGGCGATGCAGGGAACGGACGTCACTACAGCACCAATGCTGGTGACAGACCAGACCGATGTGAGAATACTATGATGGTCATGATTGATGAACTGATGCATAGTGAATGAAGCCTAGACACGATGACTTTTCGCGTTGATTTTGTCTATGTTGATTATGATGGGGATCGGGGCGATGATGAGGCGGATGACCATGGTCTGGATGATGAGGTTGATGGACTCATGGTGCTTTTGGCGACGGTGCGGACGATTGTTGTGATGTCGATGGTGGCTGCGAGCTTCAGCTATGAAGACAGTGACTATGAAGGGGCTCGGCGACATCATGTCGATGTCGTGGTGACGGCGGTGGGGATGTCACAAGATTTGATCGTGTGCCCAGGTTTCGGTTGGGACTTCGAACGCGTTGGCACTTTCCTGCCTTCATTCGGGAATCTCACCGCTGAAACCAACACCGGGACAGACGCAAATGCTGGCAAGCGCAACACGTCACTCCTTTTGTTTTGTTCCAGGCATGTTTTTTTTAATCATTTTTGTCGCAGGTGGAAGGACGGAGGGGGAATGAAAGGAATCAAGGCGGAAAGAAAGCAAGAAAGAACCAAAGGGAAAACAAGAGCGCAGGCAAAAAAAAGCGAGAAACCAAGGGATGGACATGGATGAAGGGAATGAGAGAACGAACGAGGACAAGACGGAAACAAGCAAGTAAATGGGAAGCCTCAACCCCATGACCTCAAGACCTGTCATTGCATCGCCCAAAAGTGCTCGCCTGCAGGACAGTTTGCGTTCGCTATTGGTGGAGGATGCCGGGCTGCGAGACAAGTTAATGCCTGCCTTTTCTGACGAGCTTCTGCGACACATGCGCGGGGAAAAACAAGAGTGTGGATCAACATATTTTGCTTGGAGGGCTGGTGTGTGTGTAGCATCGGGGAAGGGCTTACAATGGAGCAGAAGGGCACAGGTACTTGTCCAAGTTTGACAAGCCACAGCAACGAAGGCTTGCTTGAGAGCCCGATCGTTACGACATACGACTCATGCTCACGAACGTTTCTCATGGGTGAGAAAAAATGATGCCGCCAATGGGTCATGAATTGAATCATTTCGATTGCTGCTATTAATCGGCTTTGTAAGATGGGGTCCCTGTACTAAACAATTTCAAGTCATAAGTCCCCCGGCGAAGATGAAGGCCGGGGGAGCATGGAGAACTAAGGAAGAGTCTCGAAATCGGGTACTTATTGGAAACGACCATGTCTATAAATCTCGAGATTGCACGAGATATTAACGAGAATATCACAAATATTGTAATATTAGAAATCGAATTACTTATACTTTGATGTCTGTATTTATATATTTATACATTTCTATTATATAGATATTTAATTTTTATATATTTGGATAATTTTACAATTCTATCGATATCTTAAATAAAATAGATAAGAGAGAATTTTCTATAGATATTATATTTTATCTCTATAGAAATGATCTTCGTGGGAAAAATTAAATTTTATTTTTATAAGGAAATCGTTGAATTAATTTATAGAATATTTAAAAATAATATATATATTATATGATGATATAATGAAAATGAGAAATTATATTATATTATTAGAAAGGCTTAGGGCTTTAAAATCTAAAAGCCGAAATTTTGAAACTTTAATACGGGATCCCAAACCCTTTAAATTGGAATTTGTTAAATGGGAGATATAATAATGATTTTCTAGATCTAATTTGTGCGATAATTGATTTTAGAATATGAATATATTATGATAAAATCCGATTATCGTATGAAAAATAAAGAATAAGATAATTTGATTCTTGAAGATACTTTCGAGAAGGTAAAAGATATTCGTTCTAGACTTTTGATATTAGAAATTATGATTTTATTTCTTAAATTGAAATATTTTTAAAATATGTTTTATTTCGTGATCTTATAAGACTAAAAAAAATTGTCGGGAGAAATTGTAGAATAGGCTTTATAGATATTTCGTCTATATAAAAAAGAAATTTATAGTATAAATAAATGAATTATAATATCTATGAATGATTTTTATATATAATAAATTAACGCATAAAAGGTTTGAAATAATATTCGTGATAAGACCTCTTATAATTCGTTTTCTATTATTAGATGAATGAATTTCACGATAGATTACTTCCTTAATGACCGCTAATTTATACAAAGACATCTTATATAATTTTTTTTCTCGTTATAAAATACGTCCAAATTTGATTAAATCGAAATCTATAAGAATTCTAAATTAATTGATAGCTAGAAATCTTTTAAATCTTGTTAGATTGAATTAGAAAACATTGCTCAATGAGATCTAATAAGATATATTTAGAGTTCATAAATAATCTTTCATAAAAATCATTATTATTTGCTTAGTAAGAATATTAGATATAAATATAATCATATTTTAAATGACGACCTCATATCTAATTGAAGACGATCTAAATT